CCCCAGGCCGCTCCTGTTTTGGGGGGTTTGCATGCTGCTCCCTCTTCACCCCCTGCCTTGTTTGGTCCAGAAACCAGGCATTTCCTGAACGTGAGCAGACAGCCTGCCCTGGGCTGCAGACCCCGTCTTCCCAGGAGGGTCCAAACAGAACCGGCGTCAGTGTCTCTCTTCCTAAGTGGCTATGGTTTACACATATTTGTCCTCTGAAGACCTAGGCAGGGCTTGTGGATGGTGACCTGATCGTAGGGGCACGATGTGCAGAAGAGCTGACTTGCTCTTAAGAGGTGGGCTTTGGGAGGAAGAAAAAGGTCACTGGGACCTGACCCGGAAGGGTTTAACTCCCTTCCTGCGGCCTCCCTGTTCCACTTCCTGGCCACCATGTCCTGAGCAACTCTCCTCCACCAGGCCCTTCCGCCTGCCTTGGACTCAGCCAAGGCTGGGCGGAAACCTCTACAAACTATGAGCAAAATAAGCCTCTCTTCCTTTAAGGTGCTGGTGTTGGGCATTCTGTCCCAGTGAAGGAGAGAGCCACACAAATACATCACCTTCTAGAAACATCCACTAGTGGGACATTGCTGATCTTTCCTCCGCTTCATAGCTGCTGGACTAGATTTCAGAGGCTTTATTTTTAACATAGATAAGTCTATCTGGGAGGTTTCAAACACTTTCCAAGTATGTATCAATACAGTGTCCTCAGGCAGAAAGACCTCAAAACTGCAAGAAAATAGATTGCTGTGTGATTTAGATTTAAAGCTAAAAGCTTTCATTCAGTGTCTAAGCAACTCAACTAGCTTTTAATGGTGGTCTGTAACATAAATCTTATCTGAAAATCTGCCAGCAAGCAAAGGAACACTGTCACTTTAAATCACAAGTATTGTTTATCAGGAGGTATAAATGTAGACACTGGCATTATTCCTGAGGATAAATCAAATATCATCACATACTTAGCACCTCATAAGTCTTATCAACCATAATGCCACATCTTATTCTCAAAGACTTTTTCAGAGAAAGAGTCCACATTATCCCTGTTTTCCTGGCTGGAAAGTCAGTTCTGTGAATCTCATCTGAGCTATCAAAAGCTTGGCTAAAATTTTAGAACATCTCAGTACAACTATAGAATTTTTTTCATTGACCAAGGATTTTTCAAATTTTGTACATAGGTTCCAAATTTTAGAAGTTCTTTCCTAAACATGACTGTGGAAGCTTTATTGATTTTTATTGATTTGACGATCCCTGTTGAGCTCCACAGGACACTGAGCTTTCTGGGTATGTAAACTAGATAGAGAGCTCTCCACATGCAAGGTAACTGCCAGAGCTCTACACCAAAGCTCCACTTAAGAGCTAACTGAAGCGTCCACATCCTCCTGAGATCCAGTCTCAGGAAACCCCATTGTACTGACCTAACTCCCCTGATTTCTACCTTAGATGTGACATAAAGTCACATTCCTGATGTTGTTTTCCTCTGGGAGTCTGGCTGATACAGGTGTTGGCTTCCAATTTCCCACATTCTGTAAACCACCATCAAAATAGCTTCCTGCTGGGCAGTGAGATTCCTCACATTAGCAAAGGAACAAAACCTGCACATTCCTGGTATTGTTTTCTGTGTTCTCTGTGCATCACAATAAAAAAAGCTCTACTCATAAAATTGTGGGTGACATTTTCTCCTCTTGTCTCTACAAACAAATCTGTCTCATTCACGTGTTTTCAAGCCACTAACAGTGATGACAAACTGGACCGTGCGTCCAAGTTCCTGTTGGCCACAAGAATCTGGCTCAGGAGCTCACAAATTCCCTGTGTCTTTCAGGTGTCATGCTGGTTCTGTTTCGGAGAAAGTGCTATTCCATTCTTGCAGCTTCCTGGGAGCTGCAAGAATATCCAAGGCAGATGCTTCCATAAAGCAGACTTCTGGGGTTATAGCTCGGGGGCACAAGCACTTGCCTGGCAAGTGTGAGGTTATGAGTTTGATTCATAGTACCAAAAAAAAAAAAAAAAAACAGACCCACAGCCTTCTCCACAGCAGGACAAGCATGCACAGGTACACACATGGACACACGTATACGTGCCCATGCACAGGTGAACACCAGTATGCACACAAATCCTCCAGGCAAATCCATTTGGCCCCATCAGATGTTTGCGACAAAGATGTCAAACCCAATTTTGGTTGTTGCTTAGGTTTTCTTTGAGAATTGATTACTTTTATCTCATTCACCTGCATGTCCATTTCCTACCCAAAAGAGCACAGAATTCCCTCTCCTCACGTCCGAGCTCCCGAGAAATCTCCAGAATCTGTAAATGATCTGGTAGAAGAAATCCTGTTCCATCATGACCACCAGCAGCTCACCAGGGCCTAACAATGATACAGCCACAAGGGTGCTGGTTAATTAATGATGAGTTTGTTTGCACTGCCACAGCCTTGAAGCCCACGGCTGGGTCCAGAGTACAGCATGGAGGGGAGGTGTGCACATAGACAGCCCCGCTGCCCGGGAATCCTCCGGGGCTGCCGCTCCTGCATGCTTTCGGACAGGCCACCGCACACCGGCCCGTCTGAAGCTGGCCTCACATGGACACCCTTGTGCTCCCTCCTCTCACTGAAAAGCTTTCTGAAGCACTGAATGGCACAGGGCTCTTTAAACCCAAAAGAAAACGAGCAGGTTGCCTCCTCTCCTGGGGCATTTGCTAACCCAGAACCACAGTCACACAGTGTTCCAAAGCCAGTCTTTCCAGGCACAGGTCGAGTTTAAAAAGTCACAGTGACTAGCTTCCTTACACTTTCTCCAAGTCTCCAAAGGTCATATTTGGTCTTTTCTCAGGAGAAACCAGCTACAATCACCTAAACTGCAGGTGAGTGACATCAAAACAAAAATGTTAAATAAAGTGTGCAGCCATACCAAAACCCTGTATTTCGGCCTTCAATGCTCTTGTACCCTCAGACCATGCTTCCTGAAGGCAGATGTTTAAAAGACTATTTAGATGACATCCTTAAAACGTAAAGCAATAATTAAGCAATTTGAGGAGCAAACGTTTTCTAGGGTACTGAAGACTGTCTCATTTACAGATTATAATGTAGATGCAACGGCTGCTCCAGATGTAACGCTGTTCACCAGTGCTAGCTGCCTCTTATAACATGTGGAAATCATTTGCTATATACGTATTCTTAAGGATTAATCGATTCAAGCTATACTCCTCTGGTTTCTCAATACAGGACACACAGACAGATTAAAAAGGCAATGAAACAGAGTGGAAAGAATGAGAATCTGCATTTCTTATCCAGAAGGAAAGTTAGGAGCGATTTATCACACAGCTCAAAGACAGACAGGGGCCTAGCCCAAGACCCCAACACAGATCAGGGTGCCAGGGAAGTTTTCCCTGACTCTCCTCCGCTAAAGACCTAATTTTGAAAGTAAGGGGTGACTTGATCTTATGCATACCTCAAGAAGTTGCATTTAACCTGGGCACAGGATCATACATCTACAATGCCAGGTGTGTACCTGGGAGGCTGAGGCAGGAGGATGGAAGATTCAAGGTCAGTCTAGGAACTTAGTGAGACCCCGTCTCAAATTTTAAAAAGGGTTCTGAATGCAGCTTAGGACAAAGGCCCTGAGTTCAATCTCCAGTATCCCAAAAAAGGGGTGGGAGGAAGAAAAAAAGACAGATAAAAAGCCACTTAATTTCATCAATATCACTTTCAGCCAAAGTAATATATTAAGATGACACGGAAAAAGAAGGTTCCCGTGGGACGCATCAGAGAGAATCAGCGTTGGCTGTCAAGTTGCTGACCTGGTCCAGGTCTGTTAGTCACATGGTGTTAGCAAAATCAAGAAAGAGGCCTCAGAAGACAGCATTTGCTACCAACCAAAGCAGCACTCTCCGCAGCCCAGCGACCCCCTCCCTGCCAGCTCGGGCAGCTCCTGTGCCCATTTGGTTCCCAGAGGCTGCAATTTTTATGATCTATTTTCTCACTCACCCCAACCACACCCCACTCAACTCACTCACCCACGGCTAATGTTTTTCTTTTGACCTCTGGCATGACTCAAAGTAACTTGCCCGAGGGAAAAAAAAATTTACTCTTCCATCAGTGCATGGATCCGGGTGTTCATCACAGCGCATGCTGGCTAAGGAGAGACAGGTGAGCGCCTCTCAGAGACAGCAAGCACGTGGAGTGATCTGGAGGAAACACACAGGAAGACAGGCAAACACTCCAGGATGTCTGGGAAAGTCAAGAAAATATTGCCCCCTAGAGTATCCATTACTTCAAATAAGAATTTTATTTCTACAACCATCAGCAGCTCCGATTTCCAGGAAATTAACCAACTCATTGCTTGAGCCCCAGTCAGCGAAGCCCCCTCTGTGTATACAACGAGCTCCTTCATAAGAATCCCCAAGACCCACACCAGCTCTCTCCGCTAAGTCAGGGTGAGCTGGTCAAACCCACTTTCCTTGTGCCCAGACACAACAATAGAGGCAGCTGAGTCCTGTCAGCTCCTTGCAACACTGTGTCTCTGTTTTCCTTTCTACTTGGGGTATTTTCTCAAAAGTTCTAAAGGTCTGAGATTTCCAAAAAACACAGCTCACTGCCTTTGCTATTTTCATGCCCGGTTCTCCTAAATGGGAGCTTTCTGGTAGCAAACACCGCATCCTACATCACAGGACAGCACATCAGTTGGAGGTCTCCCCAGTGTGAAAGTAACACCTGTCCCCCGCCTCTGTCCCAGCCTCGGTTAGGGACAGACGTTTTAATGGCATATCAATAACCTATCAATTTCAGAGGACCAAGATATCCAGAGAGAGTGACCATAAAGCAATCAGACATGCCCTCGAATTAAAAAGCCATCTTCCTTCACCTGCATGGGGCACACAGCTGGCTTCATCCTGAGAAACTGAGGAGGGAGTCAGCCACCCTGCAGCTTTATCGGGAAGATGATCTCCCAAGGAGCTCGCCTGGCCGCGCAGCGGGAGGTTTTCCTGAAGGGTCCAAAGATGCAAACCAGGGCTCCACTTACCTGAGGGGAGGCTTTCCTCCCAGCCTTCCGCCCTCTTAACTCGGCTCACTGTGGCTCCTAAGCAGATGTGCACCCCGATGGCCAACGTGAACAGAGACAGGACCTACGGGGACAGAGAGACGTGCTTGTCACAGCCAGCCTGCCACGCTCAGAACAGAATCAGATCTCATGACCTTGGCGTCCCCAACGCTGCCACTTCCAAATGGCCTCCCAGGGGGCTGCCTGCCCTGGAACAGAAGAGTGAACCCCGCTATGGGAGGCTGCTCCTGGTCCCCTCCTGCTCCTACCTGGCCCGGCCGCGCGGAGCCTCCTGCAGCCATGCTGGGCTCTCTCCGAAGCCCTCTGCAGCTGCCCGCCGCCTGCTCGGCTGCTTCAGTCTGCTCGCCCCAGGCAGTCCCACCTGGGAAGTTGACAGGCGCCTCTGATTTGCCCAGAGCTCGATTTCATCACGGTGGGTTCGCAAATTGCAGCTGCGAGCAGAGCGGCTTAAGGCCTCCTCGTCCAGCCCGCCTCCTGACCCACTGGCCCTCCCCTGGACACTTCCATGCGGTCTCCTCTGGCAACGGGAGGGTCCCTGCTGCAGTTCCAGCCAATCACGGCGCCGGCTCCCTCTCCTTCCCGCCCAGAGACAGTTTGTCAAAAAAGAAACCAAGTGTATTTCAGCCGATAAAAATGAAACAGGGCTTCGCAAAGCTTTCGGCAGCCTCCAGCTCCACAGGCTCACAACACCGCCGCTCAGGACCCTCCAGCCTGCTGCTGTTAGTGCCTTACGAGGCCTGTTTTATCGTGCACATACCTAGAAACCGTCCCTGTCTTTCCCACTGATTTATTTTTCTGGCACTTTGAGCAACCTCTTCCCTGGGACCACATTCGGATGGCTCAGATCTTTCTCACAATGAAATCTCCTGAAATTGCAACTCACACAACAAATAGTATTCTTTTCTCCACCTTGTTATTATAGCTTAGAGAAGTAACTTTTATCAGAATGCTGAGGATGCCCAGCCACAGAGTCCCCTGCTTAGGAAGAAAGACAAAATAAGTGCCTAGCCAGACAGCTGGTTTGGAGGACCTGGGCTGGGGGTGGGGGGATAAGAGATTATAAGAAAAGGGAACTTTATCAGTCAGCGAATGTAGGATGGAAATGTCGGTGGCCGCACAGATCCAGGTTGAAAGAGCTATTTCCCTAGTTAACTCCCAGTTAAATTATCATCCAGCGGCCGAACTCTGTGTCCCTTCAGGCTACTGTGCTTAGGTTTCTTTCCTAAGCAGTTTGGCAACCACAGCACTTCTGGACAGAAATTGAGGCCTCGATTCCAGCGCTGTTTAAACATTGTATTTCTTTAGGATCCTAAGGAGGGGTGGTTTGGCTTGGGCTTCCCTCACCCTCACCCGGCTGGTGACTGTGTCTTTTGCACGGTGCATGTGTGTACACAAACAGGCACAGACTTATCACACAGCAGATTTCCAGCGGGGCCGTGGCTCTGCTCACAGAAAACAGGATGCACGAAAGCAGGAACTGGGTTTATGGAGGGCTGCAGAGCGAGCAGCCTGGGTTTCATTAGATCCCAGAACTTAGGAAGAGCAAACTGAAAACAAGAAAGTCCGACACGACACGGAACTTGTGAGTCGCCCTAGCAGGCTCCAGCGAGCTTGCAGTCTGGCAGAAACTGCTGTAGTCTGCACACCGTGCGGGGCTGCCCAGGGCTGTGGACTGGGGCGTGCGGCTAAGGAGAGCGGTTAGCTCTGTGTGAGATGTTCCTGCTCCCCAGGGCAGGTCCTGGGGTGAGCCTGCTACCGGGGCCAGGCTGGAAGTCAAAAAGGGAAGCGGCACCACGTGGTGGTGCGGTGCTGCAGTCCCTGCAGACACCAATGCCCTCTTCCCTGTCCCCGGGGCCGAGATGCAGCCCAGCACCTTAGACCCTGCCTGCCGGTGGGCTGCAGAAATCCAGCCAGAAGACCGTGAAGCCTCTGCGCAGGAAAGGAAGAGCACGAAGCTGAATGGCACCAGAGTGCTGATGTTACTGAGTCTCAGGGCAGCCATGCAGGCGGGACGGCCGAGGGTGGCCTCGGCCCTGAGCCGTGAGCCGTGACCCGAGGGAATCCCGGCTCGGCTGCCGCTTCTGCTGTGTCCCAGAGAAGTGTCCCTGCCTTCCACCAGCACAATGCGTGTCCGGGACTCACACACATGAGTGCTACACACATGCAACACACACACATGCAACACACTACACAACACTCCACACACTGTACTTAGACCACACACCTACACACACATGCATACACTACACTACACACAAACACACATACTACACCTATGCACGAACCCCTACAGACACAAACACAAGCAGCATCTAGCTACAGCCAGACAGAATTTTACCCCAAGATTATTATTATAAATCACCGACAGAAGGAAAGCTAAAATCGCTACCTCAGGCATCAGATCAGCTGCAAAGCTAAATTAGCCCTTGTCTCCCAGGCTCCAGGGATGGGTGGATGGGGGAGTGGAGAACATGAAAAAGGAGGTAAGATGGGCTATGTATGTGCACCAACTTCCCACGAGGGATGTGATCATTACACACCACTCACATGAACTGATAAACTAAATTAATAAGTAAAATAAAATAACTCCTCTCTGTCTAACCCTAAGCAGCCCCAAATGACCAGGAAAGCATAAAATAGACTGAGGAACTCGACTGCCATGACTGGAATTGGACGGGAAACCTTGTATCAGGGAACCAGGCAGAGGCCATTCACCTGCTGTGTGTCTGCAGTGTTTGCAGACAGACACGCTGGGCTCAGCAGACAGAAAGGGGTAAGAAAGACTGACATCGGGCACGGCTCTTCCACGCTGTCACGTCCCAGAGGACACAGCCCCAGCAGAGGACAACTCAGATCTGTAAACAAATCTTTCTCTTTTTTTGGTACAGGGGATTGAACTCATGACCTCGTGCTTGCCAGGCAGGCGCTCGGCCGCTGAGCTAAACCCCGAGCCCTGTAAACAAATCTGGAAGTTGCTCTGTGGTCAGATTTTGCAGCACCTGGAATCTCCCTGGGGCCTTGTTTGAAACGCTGGTGCTTCTGCCCTCCCCGCCAGTCCCCTGCTCCACGTGGTCTAAGGGGTCAGGGGAAGAGAAGGGCCCTCAGGGCTGGAAAAGCGGCCCGATAGATGACAGCAGTGTACGTCATGCAGGTACTGTGCTTAAACGAGGCGGATGCTGGAGTAAAGTCCTCCGGGCTAATGTCCGTGCGTCCTACGTGTTCAGGTGCTCGGCCTGATCTCAACACCGCCGTGATACACACTCAGCGTGCTCACCAGCAGCTGGACTTGGGGTTGAGGTCTCTCAGTGACACCCCGAGGCTGGCGGTCCAGAGGAGTGATCTCCCCACGGCAAGCAGGGCAAAAGAACTCGATTGCTTTGTGGGGGACACAAAGCAGCAGAGTGTGCTGCTTCGCTGCAGCCCAGGGGTTGCGTTTACACAAAGGCACAGGCTGCCTTTCCAGGGGACAGTCCTGTGAGCCTCGTTCCCAAGCTCTGGTTCAGATAAGAAGCGCGGGGCTAACAGTGCGCTTTGGACGATGGTGTGGTGGAGGGCTGTCCCCCTGTCACGGACTGATTAAAGCCCCAGCTATATCCTGTCTCTCGTTCTGCAGAGTCGACGTGACTGTCCTCAGCTTAACTCTGTCCCCAGCATAACCCGTGATGGTAGATGACGGTACACAACCGCTGGCCACGCCCTTTCCAGATGACCTGGCAGCAGCTAAGCACCTGCACCCCGCAGGCCAGCACACGGCGCCCATAGGCAGTCTCCTCATCCCTGTTTTACAGATTCTGCTGTGGTTTAGGATGGTTGGAAAACTCAGAATCAAAACCCGACGGCAATCTTTGAAAGTGGGATTCACCACTCTAAACCCTGCAGAAGTTTTTGATAGCTCAGGGAGGAGCACGGGCCACGAGCCAGCACTCGGGGGTGCATAAAGCCGAGACCGCTTAAGACGTAGACCACAGGATCGAGTTTTAAGGGTTGCATATGGTTCTGGGGGTTCTCACTGGAGGAAGAGATATACCCTATTCAAATCCACTTATTATCACCTAATTAAAAAAGGAAGTTGACTTTAGCTGTCAGTGACTTTAAGAACCTCCAAGCATTCCTGGTAGAATCTGAGCGTGAATCTCACCCGGAGCCCTCTCTGCCTCCCACGCGAACTCCTTCCCTCACCACTCGGGGGACCAGGAGTACAGTGCAGGGTGCTGAACCAGATGCGGGGTGAGATGGGGTCCAACACGCCATGACACAGAAGGACAGCAGTTTGATTCGTGCAGGAGGACAGAAGTGAGGAGAGGCGGGTGCCTGTTTCCTACAGGTCCTGTGAGGGGCTCGGTCTCCTCACAGGTGATGGAAGCCCTTGCACAGCTTAGGAAGTGTAATCTCTTTACACTGTGCATATAAACTGGAGAAAATCAAGGCCAGTTCCAGAGCTACGGCGGTGACCCAGACAGAGGCAGCTCAGTGGACAAGGAGATGGGGCGGCCGTGGGGAGAAAGAGGAGCACAAGAGCTAAGACAGGGGGTGTTGGTGACCCAGGGACAGCGGGGGGGACAGCAGGACCTTCACACCCTGCCTGTGCTACAGGCCCTGAGCCGCGACGGTGACCGAACAGCGCACGCTCAGGACAGCCGGGCTTTGTGTTTTAACTGGATCTCCAGAAAAACACAGACACCCGCATCCACTTGCTAACACCCTGGAGCTGAGCAATTGGAGCAAGGGACGTGGTCAGCATCTAGAACACCTGTTTTAAAGCCACACAAGGCAGTTCACTCCTGTACGTCACATGGGACCTTCAACACAAAAGGGATGGGTTTTGTTTTGTGTTTTATAATTGGGATTTTGAGAAGTGTCACCTCCAGGAAATAATCAGCTTTCCTCTGAACTCTAGCTGATCCCAGAACATTTTAAAAACTCAGTGTAACCATGCAGCTCTGTGCAATCTGCAGGCCAAACACAGACTGGAAGGGAGCATGTGGCCCGGTTTTGGGGGCTGGGTATCCCCCCATGCTGTGCACCTGAACCTCGTGAGGTTCCCAGTCAGGATCGGCTTGGTGCCGTGAGCCACAGCTGGGGCGGGCACAGGGTGGAAAGCCACGGTGTGCCCTCTGGGCTGGGGACAGGATAGGCACTGCTGCCTTCTCTCCAGGATGAAGAAAGGACTCTCCTGAGACCGCCGAGAAGATGCAGCTGGACAGGGTGTGAAACCCAGGTCCCTGGCTTCATTTCTTATGGAAACCCCAAAAAATTCTCCATTCTCCTGCAAGCTCCCGTCTCGTTTCTCATCAGACCCCGCGTCCAGGGACTGAAGTGGCTCAGCCCAGCTCCTCCTCACTCACAGGAGCCCGCTGAGGCCTGCCCCGCCCGGCCACCTTCTCTAGTGACCGCTGTAGCTGCTGCTATCTGGCTTCCTGTTCATACTCCGGCCCCACCCCATTAGCTACCAAGCCAGTGCTGAATAAAACCTGGATCAGGTGAGTTT